TACAGTGCAGGGGCGTACTAGATGACATTGCTGGAGGGAAGGGGCAGAGACTGGCTGACATTGCAAGGGGGGGATTGGGTAATAGTAGATGGTGGTCAGCTCACATTGGACATTGCCAGAGCGGTGTTAGGTAATATTGGTGATGGGGGAGAGGGGAGGAGGGCTGGCTGACATTGCAAGAAAGGGTGCTGTGTGATAGCGGGACTGGCTGACATATTGTAGAAAGGGGGAGTTAGGCGATGGTGCAAGGGGTTAGGGTGAACTAAGCAGCAGCTACCGAGATGCTGTGAGCAGGAAAGGAGCATAGCATGGGGTGGCAGCCTATAAAGCCCATTCTCCTTTAAGGAATTAAGTAATGTTAACACTAACAGTGAACTCCTTTACTTTGCTCCCTTTTTTGTAGATATTCGACAATTGACAAATACCATTAGAAGTGGTTTGTCATATCTGTTAGCAAAGTTCAAAACAATACCTGTTCATCCTTCCAGAAATCAAGTAGGGCTGCAACTAACGATTATCTTCATACGGTGGCTGATTATTTCTTTGATTAATAAAAAAAAAAATTTCATCTTTTATTTAAAATACACAAATGGAGTGTTACAAACATAAGGTTTAATTCAGAATAAAACTGCATACACAATTTTTTGCAAAATAAGCCCGCAGAGGAGGGACCTGAAGGAGAAAGTTCTTCTTCAGGTCCTCTTCTGCTGATTGACAGCAGGCAGTGAATGAGTGCAATAGCCAGCCTGCTATTAGCTATTGCAATTTGAAATAGCCAATAGCAGGCTGGCAATGTAGAGTCACAGCGGCTGACAGACGGTCTCTCCTCCCCTCTGGGCACCAGCTGCAGCGGTCTGTGTCCCCTCTGAGCCCCGCTGCCTCCGCCGATACAGGCGGGCTCCCAGTGGGGAGGAGAGAGCTTCAGAGCAGCGGGAGGAGGGAAAGATTTGGGGCGCTCTCCTCACCGCTGGGCACCGACTGCAGGGGTCTATGTCCCCTCTGATCCCCGCCACTGGGAGCAATGGGGATTGGAGGGGAAACAGAGCTGATGAAACACCAGCTCCCACCATGGAGGACAGAACTAGGGGATCCAAACCAGTTGTGTAATCGATAATGAGATTTGTTGACAACTATTCTCATTATAGATTATTATCGATGAAACGATTAGCCTTATAATCAAGTAAGCTAATAACTTCATGTGCTCTCTACCTTTGCTCACTTTTCAGATTTACGTTGTTTCCAGGTTTCTCTGTGGACTACAGAACACCTCTCCCCTAAGTTATAGAGAAACTAGTCTTGCCCTAGGGTGACACTGCTGCTCCTCCATTGATCTAGCTCAGTGAGCCGGCGTTGTCACTCTAGGACAGGAAGTATGTTACTGGCAGGATCTCCAGGTGTAAATAATGTAAAAAGGAACATAAAAAAGAAAGCTACTGCAGCCACTATAGTGAGCCTGCAGTCTAT